GACTGAAGTTCAAAGGGACACAAGTGCGGTATCATTCGGGACCATTCGGGACAGTGCCCGGTCCAATACTTAGAGAATATTGACCGGCAATAGAGCATTTTGATTGGTTGATTTTAGTTATTGGCCCTCTGACTGCCCGAGTCGTGTAATAAATTTAATATTTTGCATTGCAATGTAATACTTTAACTCACCTGCAGCACCTGTGTAGACAGAACAATCACGATCATCTTTGCTGCGCTCAAAACCTTCCTCACATTTTTTCAACAGTTTTCGAGCTTCACCTCTTATCCTTGAGTAAAAAGGCTCACTAATCTACTGACAAGAAAAGATTAGTGAGCAAGAAAAGGAAAGAGTTCCATATAGCCCCATACATTAATTATGCATTCATTTCATATAGACTAAATATAAAGGTTTCTTTGCAACACTCTATGCATAATTAATGTTGGGGGTTGAAGCGTATCCAACGAGGGAAAAGGTTTCAATATCTTTACAACTCACGAGCACATGGCATTACTTGACAACCTCACAACAAACGTAGGGGGAGACTGGAACCAATACTACTCAGTCTCTACAAATACACCACATCTCCCCCTTTCTTGGACCGAGCTACCACGGAAATAACAACGAAGAAATGGGTCCGAGAACATAGTTCAAACAGTCCATGTAAAAACTCCAACATTAACTAGAAATGTCTGATGACAACAGTTAAATGTACGGAAGTCCCAGCCTTACTTCAGATAGACTCTATTAGTCTATCTGGAGCTCTTCGCCCCCTGGAAGATCGGCGAAACTGGGTGGGGGCCGCTTCCACGAACTGGGGAGGGGCCGTCGCTGGTGCCTCCGCAGTTACTGCCGGTGTTACGTCCTGCTTTTGATCCTGAGCTGAATCTGTTTCAGCTGATACACCTTCTTGGGTATCAGGTGGTACCTGGGGTTGTCCGGAAATATCCGACCTGACCGGAATAACCCATGGAACCTCCAAGAACTTCAACATCCTCAATCCTGACTGGGACCTTAATAGCGGGGGTTGAGATCTCTGAGCCCTGTATTTTAGCCTGGGACGATTCATTTACGCCGAGAATAGCACCGAGGAATTCATCTTCAGTTCCCTCTGGATCCTGATCTCTGTGGCGCTGCACNCGCACGTCCCTGCGAGTTTTTTTAAAGTTCGCACATACTCAGAGATTGACTGACTTGGTTTTTGACAAGCTGAGTGGAACCGATATCTTTCTGCTACCGTCAAACGCGTAGGCCTAAAATGTCCACGAAGGAGTGTCGCCAGCTGATCAAATGTTTTCGTGTTGGGGGCATCCGGGAACGCTAAATCTTTCAATACTCTGTACGAAGTGCTCCCAATCGACGTCAGTAAGATCGCCCTACGTTTGGCTGCGTTATCCTCATCATCATTGATGTCATAAGCCGTGAAGTACTCTTGAAGACGCTCCAAATAACTCTCGATGTCTTCGGTTTCAGCGTCGAACTCGTTGAAAGGAGGTCTGCCTGCCATTCTCCCGACACTTTCTTCAGTGAAATGTAGTCGTTTGGACTTCTCGAACGTATTTCCGAATAGCTCTACGCTGGACAGAGTTGCCTTTAAAGCCCACGCATGGGTTTTGGGAATCCTCGTCGCCACTGAAGCTTATTCAACGAGGGAAAAGGTTTCAATATCTTTACAACTCACAAGCACATGGCATTATTTGACAACCTCACAACAAACGTAGGGGGAGACTGGAACCAATACTACTCAGTCTCTACTAATACACCACAGGGGTTTTATGGAACTCTTGCCCATTATAATCGCCAACCTTTTTGGTACATTTGTAGCACAGTAGTTAATGCTGACTTTCACAATGGGAATTTTACTATTTCTTCGGAACTCTTTTTTTTTTTTTGGTAAGCCAATATTCCATGTCATATTTACCTACCTTGCCATCAGAACGCTGCAAAATTGTCTTTCCGTCATAATCCTCAAATGTGTTCGCAAAATACCTCCTCTCTGAGCTCGACATCCCTTGTTTTGATGGAAATCTACCAGGCGTTGCTTGAAAAAAAAAAAGCAGATAGAGTGGATGATAGTATTTAGTCGGGTCACCGCTGACAAGTTGTAAAACGCGGGCTAACTTGTGTCAAATTACTATCAAAGATCACCGGAAAGAAAATAAATATTTGCCTGAATGTGGTCGAGTGACGGGTTTTGTGTTAGAAAATTTTTCTTTTCGAGTGATATTATCCTGATTGCAAAGGTACGTAGTGACTGAAATGGAAAAATTCTAGATTCCATACGCTCAGTCAAGGTAGAGAAGATTTTGCTGGCTGTGTTTCTGTGGCGACAATCCTCAAATTGAAGATTTTTATCTTACTTAACATCACATCTGTTACAGATCGAAGACATATCTTGTTATGCATTTATGTTCAGTAAGAGATGAGTTTTAAACGTATCTGAAAGAATGGTTTGCTTTGCCTGAGTAACCTAAACTGAATGAAAGCGTTACATTTGTAACGATTCAGTGTCCTTTCATCTCTAGTTAATTTTGCGGCTCAAAATGTGTCATGGGTCTTAGAATGTTATTATTCGATTAAGCTTACAAAAATGGGGTTTGTCGACCACTGACGAATGTGTTATACACAATGCAATTTTGTACAGTTGATTTTTCAACTATTTCGTATTTACTTTTAACATGTGGTAACATCTGATCTCCTCCATCAGTAATCATTACTTATATTATAATGTAAGATCAGATTGTCTTTTCAAACTTTTTATCTTGATTACAGACCAGACTTTATTTTAACTGCAATAAAACCTTTAAGGGTAACTTTTTCCTAGTAAGATTCTGTAATAGCAATCACAGACATTTGCAGAAAAAACATTTAATGTGACATTCAATGTTTACTTTGTTTTTCCTGTGCGTATTTTCACAGGTCATGTGATTACCCAGTGAGTGACAAAGGGGAATTAAGCTCTGGGTCAATTGTCAAAGAACATTGCACTTGCATAATGCTCCTACTTCAATTTATAATTCCCTGGAACAGTAGATAATGGCCTCTGCAGGTGATAGCAATGATCCAACAGATATCAACGGTGTTTTGGAAAATTTGGGAAGCTTAATTGGTGAATTGGATGCATGTGTCACAGAAACTGGTGGAAAGGTTAGTACTGGTTCAAAGCCTTATTTCTTTCTGTCCAAGATTCCTTGTGGTCAGTCATATCCTCAGTGGTCTTTTAGGTTTAACTAGATGTTAGCCAGGAAAGTTATATGATACTCAGTATGTGTTACCGATAGCTCCTCAAGTGGAATAAATCCAGACCTAGTGGGTCAATACTACTTAATAAATATATCATGATCTCACATGTATTTGATTTAAATTTTGTCTTACATTTGCTCAGTGTGTGGTGAAATAAAGGATACTCTTTTGCTCCTTATTGTCATGAGTTAAACTATTTTTTTTTTTTAAATTGTAGGCTGTTACCAGTGAAGTGGAAGACAATCAAAATTGTAAGTGTTGGACCTTTCACTAGAAATGTGCTTGATCATAGATGTCCTAGTAAGTTAAAAAAATGTGATTCTGTTTTCTTCATTACAGTTGATGTACATTTGGAGTCCTTGCTAGCTGACACAGATGAGTTTGATGATGATGATGATGAGTATCAGTGTCTTATTCCTCATCAAAGATCATCTTCACACAGAACAACGACCAGTATCATCAATCACACTCATAACAAGAGCCCAATGGAAAGAGCAGTCAGTTCAACTCGTACTTTCCCCCAACAATCACTTAATTCAAACTCTGGCTCTATAAACAGGACACAGGAAAACCAGTACTCCACTCCACCAAATAGGAGTAGTCATAAGGGTGCTTCCAAAGAGGTTGCCCTTAGTGTAGAGTTGCATGGAAGTTTCAAACGAGTCGATGAAAGTTCAGTTACTGCTTCAGCTCAGAAGAATGCCACACCCAATCACAATGCAGCTCCCCATGTCAAAGCGCAGCCTAATCATTATGTTGGGCCCAGTGAACTTGGTTTTAATAGACACAATCCTGCAAAGTCTGGTGCTACGACAAACGGAATAATGCCCTGCAGTCAGCAACTCACAAAACAAGAAAAACATAAAATGCAGGTGACTAGTTTGAAATTATAGTCATTATATCAAGTTGCATTTGTTTTTTAATTTCATTGTCATTTTTTCTCAAGACTCTTTCCCCTTTTATTCTTCATTCTTGACTAAATGGAGTGTTATCCATATCAGGTAAAACCAGATAAAATATGTTATTTAGAATTTACATCCTTTAACTGCTTAGAATCCTTGGCAACAGATAATGTGGTACAGGCAGTATATAGCTGAATGTAGGAGTTGTTTTTTTTATTTAAAAGGTCAGTGCAGTGTGATCCCAAATATTTTATCCATCCACCTACTTTTCTCTCCTTTTATTGATCCAATCATTGTTGGAGGTAGACTTGCTCACAAGTCGCGCTTCTGAGTGCGTAGCACGACAGTAAGCGCAAAGTGCAAGCGAGCGAAAGTGCGACTTGTTTCCCTTGCAGAGTTTCACATCAAGGGACGTCATTTTGGTGCAAACTTCTGCAAGCGCTGCCTGTCAAACTGTTAACATACTTTTTGCACCTTGCAAAATTGTTCAATGGTTTGGTAATAGAGGAGGAAACTACACCAACTAAAACTTTTATTCGGGTTGCTGTACCGGAAAACATTTGAAGAAAATCTGGAGTTACGGAGAAAGTTGTTTTCAGGGAAACAGAAGACCAAAACTTGTCAAAGTCTGGAGCTTCTTCTAGGAGATGTTTTTCCGCGAGACAACGAATTGGGAACTATTAAATTTGCCGAAACTGCTCGCAATGCAACGAAACGCAGACAAAGAAAAATTTTCAAGTTAGGGCTAACTTTTCTGGACCAAAAGGAAGTCTAGGAAGCAATTTGCAAAGCTCTGTCAGGGTAAAGCGCTTAACAAAAGCTGAAAGAGCTGAGGTACCCGAACAAGGTGTGATTAGGCAAGGAGCTTCAACAAAGAGAAAAGCTTTATTTGCAAGTGAAACAGATTTAGCTTTGTCAACTGGAGAAGAAGTGACTAGTGCTGACCCAGATCTAAAACCTCTTCTCGAGACAAGAGATGCCTGTACGCAGACAGAGCCTTAACTCGCAAATACTGAAGAAAAGAGCTCAACAGTGACGTATTAAAGTAAATTTCTCGCCTTTGAATTTTCACGACTATGTAGTTTGGCTGGATCTCGCATTATTAGCTAATCCAAGTGATTTGAAACTGTGAAGAGTAATATGCCTATTTTAAGAAAACACAACAAACTATAAAAATTAAAAATGACAAAATATACATAAACAAACAGCGAAGCTAAACACTCGAAGCAAATTTTACCCAGACAGGTTTCATGTTTCAAGATCTTGCACGCGTGATCTGTTTGATTGAGGTGCGGTTTGATAAGGCTGCTTCTGATTGGATAAAATTACAGGAGGAAAATTCCTCCTGTAAATTTGGCACACTGCAAGGGTTAAAAGTCGTTCATGCGAGTCCTACCACACCAGAACAGAAAACCAAGCGAACAACTTTGAGAAAGTCTTATGTTGGAGGATGCCTGAAATGGGGTTCTGTGGCCTTGTTTTAGGAATTTACCAGCCATGATGGTTATATTCTACTTATGGACTGGTTATGCATATGAATACCCCAGTTACCCACTCTCCACTTATCCAGTTAAGTTAATTAGCAGCAAGTTTTCCATGTTTTTATTTTATTACAGCATGTAACAGTGGTAGTTTTTGATGAGGATGGCAATCCTGTTGGATTGGAAGTTTCATCCTCCATGAAGGCTCGTGAAGCCTGTTACAGGTTAACAATGTTAAACAAAGTTGAGGATGATCCTCAATGGGTGCTGACAGAATATCTGACGGACCTAGGCATTGGTAAGTTACATCAAGTCTGCTCGTGTTAATTCTCTCCCAAGTATGATTTAAAAAATTACTGAAATGAATAATAATGGTGAATAATTTATTATAAATACCTATGCCAAAATTAATGTTGGTCAATAGATAGATTAATAAAAAATTTCTAAAAACAATTCTTGTAATATCAGAGTCATCCCTCTGGTGCCTTTTTATGATGACCAGTAACAAGTTCTGAGGAGTGGGTTGTTTCAGATATCACTGGTCAGATTTACCAACACAGTGTTTGGCCATTTTATTGCTAGCTATCAAATGTCTTGCAGGTCCCAATGAATTCAATATAGTTAAAGCTGATAATTTTTGAGCCTTGCTGAACTCTATGTTTTTTTTTCTCTGTTATCCAGAGCGAACCTTAGAGGATCATGAAAATTTGATGTCCATATTGAAAACATGGGCACCAAGTTCAAACAACAAGTTGATGTTTAGAAAAGACCCTAGAAAGTACCATTTCTTCGCACACACAACTGTAAGTTGACTTCTATTTAATATAACCACATATAGGATTATTACTAGAAAAAAATCAAAACGTTTTATTACACTAAGCCCCCAAGCTCTCACCACCTTATACAAAAACTGTCAATTAGAAATGGAACTTATGTTCAACTATTTACAGAATTATTTTCCATCACATTTGTTGGACTCTGAGAGTTCAGACAAAGCAGTCACAGAGAAAGCACAGAAGGCAAAGACAATCTTACAACAGGTAGATACTGTTCTGTATTTCTTGTACACAAATATTATTCCAGACTGCACCGTTGCATTGAGTAGACAGTTTCAAACTTCTGTTGCAGTAGTAATTTGATTTATTTTCAGTTTTAAGTGTATCAAATACTTTTTTTTTTGCATATTACCAATACCTCCAGTGTTTTTTCAGTTGCTTGTATATATATTGTACTGGGCCCAGTTGTTCAAAGGCCGATTAGCTCTAACCCAGGGTTAAATTTTAATCCAGGTTTCTAAATTTCTCTAATCAAAAGCCATTTTGGGATAATTTTTCCTAGTTTTTTTAGGACATTCCATCATCAAATTGTAGACAAATGAAATTAAGCTGAATTTTCTTTCAGAGCTTTCAGATCTGAAATCAAATTTCACACTAACCCTGGGTTATCTTAACACAGCTTTGAACAACCCGGTCCTGGTGTGTACCTGTATCCATTTAGCTAACTAACTTCTTATTATGTAGGGTGACGTGTAATCTTTAAATGAGTGAAATAAAAAAATGGTAGAAAAATTGAGCAGAGGACAACCTGACCATTATTGTAAATGATCTGTGATAATCAGTAAATATGAACCAATGAATCATCAGGTAAAGATAAAAACCATACAACTTAAACAGGTCAAGACTGAATTAATTGAAGGTTGTTTACTTAGTAGTGAGTAAAACTAGCACAAATATTGGGCTAACAGTACACATAAACTATAGTGCTTTATCCAGATAAAACAAATGTGAAGAAACCCACTCTTGGATTCCTTTTTGTTTTCCCATAGAAACTCTTCAGTACCTGTACCAGAGTTCCAGAAATAGAGGGGATTTTACATTGCAAGGATTTTGGAAAGAAGTCATGGAGCAAGAAATTCTTCTTCCTGAGAGGATCAGGGCTTTATTCTTCCAGTAAAGGAAAGTCAAAGGTATCACTCACATATTGAAAGCATTGCCTGTTTAAACTTTAATATAATATCTCAACTCATCATTTGAAAAATCATTGTTCAATATCTTGGTAGAAAGTCTTCTCCCAGCAAACCCCAAAATTAATGAATGGATGTTCTTTGAAAAACTTTAGAATTCTTCCCTTTTTACTTTTCATGAGACCATGCTTTTTATTTTTGTGGATTATTTGTTTTTCAACCAGTAGTCAGAATTATTAAAGCTGTATTTTAAGTAATTATAAATGTAAAGATTAAGTTTTTTTCATTTTATTAATTTGTTGACGATAAACTTGGTGTGGCTGAAATTTTCTGCAAAATGTATCAGAAGTCTGTATTTTTTTTCGAAAATTGTCCATTCCAAACTGGGTTAGCAAAAACTCTTGGGAATATTTTCAGATTTTTTTTGTTACCTGTTTGCCACAACTTGTTTTTGCATATTCTACCACAACCTACTATTTTTCCATTTCTTCTTTCAGGCCTCTAAAGATTTGGAATGCTATGTTCAATTTGATGGAGCAAACTTGTACAACATTATAAATCCTAAAAAGTTTCATAAAGCGCCAGCAGAGTTCTGTTTTTGTATTGTGGTATGTATGATTAATTAACATCATTAAATCTCTGTGAGATAAGTTACCTTAACGAAGGGCTTTAGTGGCTCCAAGCAACGAAACCAAACAAGAAATAGTACAGTGCTGTAGGACTTACCCTCCCCACCCCCTAGCCATGCTCTGTAAACTTTTCCTTTGTTGCACTTTCCTGCCAGCCGCACAGAGCCCGAGAGTTGAAGGAGCTGAAGTGTCTTTCCACTGATGATGAGAAAACAATGATGAGTTGGATGATGGCTGTCAGAATAGCTAAGGTTGGTAACATTATTTTGTTACAAATGTTGCGTGCAAATTATTAGTTGTGTTTGTACTTTGACCCAATGTAGCCCGTAGTAACGATCCGTTTAAACTCAATTTCTAAACTATGACGCTCCTTTTTTGTCATATGATGAAAGATGGCGTCAACACTTAACTAAGATCAATTTCAAAGTCGTTGACAAAGCAGGCAGAGGACGAAAAGAAACATAATCATGTCAACGATTTCGATATCGAGGGACAAGTTATTCGCACTGCAAACTTCATTTTCAAGAGCAGTGGAGCTATATGACAAGACTAGTCTGGCTGATTCTCTCTTTCTCACTGATCTGGACGGTGTACGATAAACTGTGTTCCATGGAAGGCTGAAATGTCACACGACATCGGCGGCGCTTATTTGGTTGACACATTGAAATTGAAGTTATTGCATGGGTCATCGGTCTCGTTGGGATGAGTTAAACAGATTATTAGCAGATGAACAACATTTTTTGAGCAACATGAGAAATTCTTCCTTTGGGGAAAAACACGCGAGATGATTACTTAGCCGTGAATTGAGGCCGGATATCTTTCTGCTTGGTGGCTACAGGTCGGTTTTTCACTCATAAGGTGAACCACACGTGTTTCTTTTTTTTTTTCTTTAAAGAAATTTGTGCATAGAAATCTTGATTGTCTGCCAATAACACGTACAGCTATTTTAAGTGCTACACGGCAAACAAATCTTGGAAGCTACTGAGTTTTCTTTTGTGTACAAAGTTTGATGCCTGTACTCTAAGACATAACTTTGACCGAATTTGTTTTATTATTGGAGGATGTCATCTCATTCTAAAAGAAGTGAGCAGCAGTTCTATTTTAGGCGATTTCATTGTATTACCCTCTGTGTGAGAATAAAAGTTTTAAACGGTTCAAATATCACCAAACAGGCTCTCAGAGAGCAGTGTGATACGACAGTGCTGGTTGATCGTTGAACTGGGTCGAAAGTGTCCGAAACTGAATTGGGAATTGAACATAATTTGTTTTAAGAAGCGAAATTGATCATGTTTGTAACACATGCACAGAGGTATTAAAGCGATAGAATTTTCTTTTTTTTTTTCAATTGAGCTGCGATCTCTTAGAGACAAAAGACTTAATCACAACAAAATATAATGTCTTCAATCGGACTTGAGCTTCCCTTAATTACCAAGAATATTTCCTTGAGTCTGAAGATCCGTGATGTGTATCCTTGAAGTATTGTTTTTATCAAATGAAGGTGCTGTGAACTAAGCTTCAGCTTGAGAAATATTAGAGCACTATTAGCGTATTTTGTTTTTAGATAAGTTTAGCATCACTCTTGCAACACTCAAATTGCGGTCATGTAAATAAAGCAATAGACCAATACTTGGTCCGACTGTTACGGAAGCGGAAACTCTTGTGGCTGCGCCAGGTTATTTTGCATGTCTCCTTTTAAGTTCACTGAAGCGTTGTTTTGTCTAAATAAAGAGAAGGGACAGAAATAAAGTCGATTTTATCCTTTTATGGTGAAAATGGTACTTTTCGCTCATTTATAGGCGTAGTTGCCTTTTTTTCTCCTCAATACTTTGCTACAAGGGTTAGTAGAGGGAACTAACAGTGATGGCGCCGGCTTCAGCTGTCACACTCACGGCCAGTTGGAGTTCAAAATTAATCTAATTAGGCTGAGTAAAACTTTCTCAATGTTGTCGGACGAGATAAAAGACTTTTGTAGCCTGAGCTGAGCTTCCTCATGAGTGACGTAAGACATATAATGCTATCTAGGGCGTTACGTGTTACATTTCAGTCGCCACTGTTGGAAAGACTCCATGGCAGCACAATAAACAGGAACTGGAATGTTTGTTAAGATTTGGCTGTCTTTACTTATTTTCTTTTTCTTTTTTTTTTTTTCTTTTCCTTTTTTGCCTCCCGTGTAATGTCGCTCTCTAGCAAACCTGGAGAGACACCGATTCTTCTTTAAGGCGAAATGTGGTCCGTATTTTGCTCTCGTCGAAATAAAACATTAAAAATTCTGTCTGGCCGCTTTGTTATTTAGACACGTTTATGGCCGCTCTGTTATTTAGACACGTTTATGTGGGAGTCTCTCCTCCCACCTCGCCGCAGGAAGAATCTTGTTCGGTCACGTTATTCGGCTTTCGAGGATGATTATTAGAACTTCCTTTCTTCTCCAAACAAACAAATGGCACTGTTTCATTGATTACTGAGTGTGCGGGAAACCACTAACGTCGTTATTGAAGGTTACTGCTGCGGCGCGCAATCGGTCAGTTTACTTGCTGTCGGTGCCTCGTGAAGTTCTGTCCATTTCCCGCATGAAAATGTGAGTGGAATGATGATAAGGTGACCTCTCATTGAACTTTCCATCTATTTTCATCACGCGACGTCATATAGGTTTACTTGCCGACTTTCCGTGTTAAACAGACCTCTTATAATTCTCTGTACCTCAAGTCGATCCACTCACAATTTGTATACCAGTGTAGTCTGTGTTGGCATACTCATTACATTCGAGTGTTTCGTGAAGTTGTGTACAAGCACTATGGAAGTTGCCGATCACAGTCGAAGAAGCTTTCGGCTAAAGGTAGCAAAGGATTTTAGTGATTTTAAAAGATAACACAGCTCTTCTGTTACTCTGTTCTCTGTTTTGGTGATTATTACTCTGAAACCTTAATGTGTGTAGGATATAGGCTCTATAAGAGAGGGGAATCTCGGAGGAACTTTAAAAACAGTTTTCTTTCTAGCCATGATGTCAGTTTTATGCGAAGCCTGTTCGAGGCGTTTAGTTCATTATTCCACAGGGTCGTGCCTTTTCGACTTTACTATCGGTTCTGTCTTAAAGTTTCGTAGCTCTTTCTCTCTCGTGCAAAACGTCGCAGGCCAGCCCTGTTTATCTGCTCGTAGCTGTCTTCTGAGACTAGGCGGGCAAACCTCTGAAAGTAAGGATGACTACTCCCTAACATGTAGATAAATTAAACTGCAGGTTTCAGTGGATAAGTAAGGTACTGTAACCTGCTTATGGGACATCTTTTGATGTTGCCGTTACTTTCTACGGCGATAGCTTCGTTCTCTTGTAGTTCTTTGTTTTCAGTAAAATTCACAAATCTGAGTTTAAAAAGGCGTGTTTCGATTTGCACAGACTTAAGGTACAAGTAGACGGCGCCATCAAAACGTTTATAATGTTTATTAGTCAGTGTTCACCACGTGTGTGTCGTAGTTTTCATTTACAGTTGTCTGTTAGAGAGAAGTTATGAAAACAGATTTAATTCTACACTCCTTAATCCGGTCATTATCCTATCGTGCCTGTTGTTAGTGTTTCCTTATCTGTCGCGAGACAGCTTTGCTCGCTGGTCACCCTCCTACGTCAGGAGTATGACGTATGAACTCATTTACCCCTCGTTACTTCAAGATATTTATTGGACCCTCCAAACTCTTTCTCAACTTATCGTTTTTCCTCTTAAGATAAGAAACTGAGATATTTTCAGATAATTTTCTTGAGCTAAGAATTTCTGCATTATTTGGCAAGATCCACGATAATTGTCGTTCGAATGTCTTCAACATAACTGATGACTGTCCCACTCCAAGAAAATCTCATTGTGCAGTTTTTAGTCTTTCTGTGTAGTTTTAGATGTTGGTGTTGTATGTTATTACAAGCAAGCAGTTATTGAAACTCCAGAATAGTGGTAGAATCAATTCAAGCATAACCTGAAACATGCAAATTATAAAAAAAGGAAAGAAAAGGACAGTGTATAAATATATATTATTGTTTGGAGGTTAATGGAGTGTAACAGATAGACATCAAAGGAAATTTACTAGACAGGCCCTAACACGAACTTCTACAATGATTTCTCTTAGTTTGGACCTCAACTCCGCCAAAATTACGACGACATGATACGAAAGTTTGCCAAGCTAACGAAGTACCGTGAACAGAGTTCGGAAAGTCAGGTAAGTTGTCTGTTTGTCAGAAGTATTTTGAAACGATCATAACTTTCCTTTACGACGTCTGCAAGACTAATTAAAAAAATCTGACTCTAGTTCAGCTTCCTTTTATTCGCTAAATGTACATTGCGCTTAACGTGTAAGGTCTTTTTTAAAACTCCAATTTGAGTTTAACACATTTTATTGTTTTGGAAATGGCCCAATGTCAAAGTAGTCTTTAATTAAGATGTAGTTCTTTTTAATTAGCAGCTTATTTGCCGCGGCTTTTAATCAGCGAAAAAGCATTGTTATCTTCTCGGCTTTATGCAAGTACAGATTTAGCCTTAAGAAGTTAAACAAGTAAAAGATGGGTTGACCAAAGTCCCTAACTAACTATGGGTTGACGAATGTCTTAAATTACCAGTCCAGTATCAGAGAATATGATTCAGCCTGTCCGCATTGCTGCACATAGTAGTATTGATTACACGGTAAATATATGGCTTTTTCTTCAAGCTGCGGGTAGTAATTCCCTAAGGAGTTGCTGCAAAGATTGCAGTATTTATTAATACATTATTGTGATACTTCAATAAAATTGCATTTCATACCATTCTAGTCATTGTAAACTCTTATTAAAGAGATCTCTGTGCTCAATTAGTCGGTAAAAGCTGTTAGAAATCGTAAACTGATATGGTTTCCATCCTTGGTCTTCCCTTCTCCATAGAGTAGCTAGTTGACGTTTTGGACAAGTGATTTTGTTGTCAAATGGCCTAGAAAGTCTTCGTTTACATTAGTAACTCTTGCAAGCACGCACACTGAACAGGCACCACACCTGAGATTAGTTTTTTGGACGCAAATGGCTAAAATTAGCCTTATTAAGAAGTAAATAGCTCAACAGAAACGTGAATTCTTATTCTAAATTAGCGCTCGCGAGTGATCTTCCTTCCAATAACAAATATTACAACAGTGGTGTTGACACGGACGATACTAATGAGATCAGTGTCTGGTTGCAAACCTTTAGATCAGGTGTTGTTTTCTTTCATGCGTAGTCTTTGACAACGCTTTTTGGAAATATTTATCCGTCTAATCCCATACTTTTCTCTAATAAAGCTGTAGCCCAAAAGGCAATGTATTGTTTTCGCTATTGTTTTAATTATTGAAAACTGTATGCATAATGAAGTATGAGGTTGAGCTGGGCTGTGCCGAAATCTTGCCGGGTTTTCTTTTTGCTCTGCCATTATTTAAAGCGTTTTAAACTTAAGCGAGTTTTAATCAAATAAAACGAAATCTGTAGTTAAGTAAAGAAAACAACGAAGACTATGCGGTGAAATTGATGTTTCTCACGCTAAAATGTATAAATATCTTCAATATATTGGAATTGAATACGCTGGAGCAAGGTTTCATGTCATATCCCGCTTGTTTTGAAATGAAAATGACGTTATGTTTGAGGTATTTCCCTCCAAATATTGCCGCGGTGTTCACATATAATAGGCACTAAGCCCTAGAAATGTTGGAAAACTTTTCTTTTAGTATCTTTTGATGTCCTGTGCAGATAATACGGACAAAGACAGAAGGCTTTGTTTTGATCGCTCGTTGGCTTAAATTTCTTTCCGAAGAAAACTTGCGAGAACTGATAATTCGTTTTTCTCCCAGTCAGAGATATATAATTGTGCTATTCAAGGTAATTATTTGTGGTTTATTGATTAATTCCTTATGCCTAGTCTTTTCATTTTGATTTCTTATAATAGAACATACTTTTATTATCTAAATATATCAACAAAGTTGAAATGGTAAATTGGCCACCGTTACGATTATAAAGGCTGTCGTTTCGGCGTTAGCCCTTCGTTGGAGCGAATTGGAGAATCAATTCTCTAATTCGCTCCGACGAAGGGCTAACGCTCGAAACGTCAGCCTTTATAATCGTAACGGTGGCCAATTTACCATTTCAACTTTGTTGATGTATTCAAATTATTTCGTTACCCCCACCGACGCAGCCCCAAACAGTTTCTTTAGAAACTATCAGCCTTTATACTTTTATTATCGTTCTGTACTTTAATTGTTGTACTCTAGGTATTCAAAGTACAGGATTTCATGAAATGATTAGATATTTTTCTTTCGATTTTCTTCTCGAGCGATCGCTCTTTGGTGACGGGAATGACTCGCTAGGAAAGTTTGAACCTTAAGTTAATGGAAAATCTCAGTTTTAATGTACTGAATGGAAATTACTTAAGAGAATTGAGTTACGGTTATTTTCTTGGCCAAGATACGTGTTTAAACCTTTGGTGTTTCTTTGGCCGAACGTTAGGGTTCTCCAGGTGTTTTTGTTTTGTTTTTTTTGTTTTGTTATTTGTTAACTTTTGAAATGATCGACAATTACTAATAGCAGTGCAGTATCAGTTAAAGCTGACAACTTTGAGAAGCTGGGATCTGTTAAAACTTTCAAAGATTCTGAGATGGGGCGCAAACTTCCTCAAATCAAAACCTTTCTGGATTTGATGCGCCCTTTGCAGATGTTTATTAGCTATCAGAATTCCCAAGACGTTTTGTTTGGGAACCAGCGTGGACCCCAAGTGTCAGGGAACGAAACCTTCGACTGGAAGACTGAGAAGTGAGACGTGCTTGACTGACTGTCGTATAACGCGGGTCATGATGGATAATGAGACAATCATATCTGAAATTTTAAAAAAATTGTAATAAAAAAGGAAAACTGGTATAGCTAGATTTATTTTAAATTTTGATAAAAGTAAAGAATTTAAAGGCAGAAAAACTGGAGCTAACAACTAAGATATGATATACATGATACATGTAAGTCGTAATTCAAGTAACAAATGGTCTTCTATCACTAAGATACTGAGATGTATTATTAGCAATATTCAATCGCCGAGATTGTCCAATCTCAAAAATTAATTGCGGAAGTAGATAAGGGCGGAAATTGTTACTCTGCCCCGGAACGACTAACATTAGAATGTAACCTCACCGTGACGAAACTTTTCCTTTAGAATTGAAACGTCTTGGATTTTTCGTAGGATATTTTCTGCCTGCGCAACCCGGGACTCTTTAAAACAAATTTAGCTGTCCCCCCGAGGGAACAGATTTTAGGTACATGAGGTAACATCCTATTTCGGATTAGCAATTCCTGTGGCTAAGAATACTGAGAAAATAAGGAATTAATAAGCATCGTTTTGATTTGTAGGACGTTTCAAGCGAGAAGGAAGACGAAGGCATGAAAGAAACCACAAGAGAGGGACGAGTTCCAATGGATTTTACCGGTGAAAGAGGAAAAGTCATTACGGATTTAAACGAAATCCAACAACTGGCTAACATAAGAAACAACGCAGTACGTGTCAAATTTTATTCTTTGTCATTCGCAAATTTTTTCTTATTTTTCATGTTTTCTTTCGACTTAATGCGACTTATCGCAGTGATCATTTGTTAAAAAAGAAACTGTGAATATAACGTGAAGCAATTTTGCCGGCCACTAAACTCTTCGTCGATTACAGAGGCCCAGAGACCCACTCTATCCAGACTGTAATATAAAGTTTTAACTGTTAATTTGTTTTTGTTTTTCACAGAAACTAAGTAAACGCATGTCATCTGAACATTTCATCCCAAACCACACCGTTACCTCCGGTATGTTTAGCATGAGTGTTGCTTTGTCTTATTGGTGCCGACATTTTTACTTTCGCTTATATTGTATTGGTCGTTTTTATCCAAAGCTTAACGACAAACAACTGGTTTTACACACTTTTATTGAAACTGACGAAGACTGAAGTTCTAGTTTTATGATCAGTTACATCTGATCGCTATCTTGATTATTAAAATGTTGAGTAGGATTGAATCTCTTCTTTTCAGGGCACCATTTTGTCAATGAACCATGGTTTCACGGGAGAATAACAAGAGAACACTCGCTTCACTTGCTTGTTGCTGCAGGAATAGACGACGGGTAAGGAATATTACAAGTAATACTCTTTGGAAGCCTTGTTGTCCTGGTACTGCCTCGTTGATCGCTCGGGGTGGGATGGGTGGGAAGGTGAGATCGCTACATGGACTGAAGCGGCTGCCAGAGGCGCCTGATAATAATGCTGACGTCCGATCTCAACCTTACGCGGATAGTGTTAAGCGCGACTGAATATATCCACATAGAAGTCTGCGCTATATAAATGTAAAATGTAAATGTAAATGTATCGGTCGGTAACCACGATAATTACGTATTCTTTAAAGTTGCGGGAATAAGAATAATAATATTTAATACTTATAATGCGCTTTTTCTATAAAAATACTCAAAAGCGCATTAAAATATTAATTGTTAAACCCGATAAAATTACAATATTTACAGTATAAAAATTTCCAGAGTAATTAGTAAAACATAGAATTTTTTAAAAATCTCAATATTAAATTAAATGAATAAATAATCTAACTAAAAGCCTTTTTAAATAAATATGTTTTAACAGAGCGTTTGAAGGAGTTGATTGATGTTTCCTGTCTTATTGGCAGAGGAAGACTGTTCCATAAGAAGGGGCAGCTATTGAAAACTCGCGATCTTCCATAGTCTTCTTCGTTCTTAGCCGAGGTCTTTCTAACAATATACCATTATTGTTACGGCGTAGTTGATAATGTGAGTCCGGCAAGACAGAGACTAGATCCTTAAGATAGCTGGGCGCAACATCGTGAAGTATCTTAAATGTGACAAGGAGAATCTTAAAATCTACACGCAAACGCACTGGTAACCAGTGGAGTTCTCTTAGAAAAGGAGTAATGTGAAAATAAATGAAAGAGTGAAAACAAATTGAAGCAGAATATTTGGAAAATCATTTCTCGATGAATTTATCTCGGTGACATTTGACATCTCAATTTTGCGTGTAAAATCAATTTTGGAAGTATTTTTCGCTGACTGAGACTTGAAATTTAAATTAATATACGCGCTCATTTCTAATGAGCACCTACATTAATTCTGAATATGATGACTTTGGTTGAAAGCCGACTTTAATTAGCCATTTTAGGCTATGGGTTAACAGTTTCAAAGCCATACTTTGAGTGGACAAAGCAATGAGTGCCTCGTTATCTTTTTCAACTACAGGTTGTTCCTTGTGCGCGAAAGCAGCAGCGTTCCCGGCGTGTTTGTGTTAACGTTTTGCATGAACAGAAAAGTCTACCACTGTCAGCTTGTTGAGGTTTGTATTTGCTATAGTATAAAAACTGATTTTGATCGATATCTGTTACTAATAGTCCCTGTACACACTACAATAACCTATTGTGAGTGTGTCTGTACAGCCTCAACGGAAAAGAGCTTGCAGGATGTGAGAAAAGTTTTAAAACAGTCTTTTGTTTAAGCCGGTCAAAGCAACCAGGCTAGTTGTTAGTTGTCTTATTTTACTGCGGAGGAAACTTTTTTCATTATTTGAGCTGAAATTGTAACTTACTTCGTCGGTGAGTTGTGAAGAGGCCGCAGCGAAGCTTCGTAAATAGTCGAGTACATTGGATTTGAATTATTTAAACATGATCATCCAAACCAGCTGGCAAGAGAACTCAAGTTTATTCTCTCTGTGATCTTACCTGTTATCGATCAATCTGGTGAAATATACAGACATAATATTTTTAATTACGTCATGTGATGATTAAAACCTAATAGAGTTATAACTCGTCTTATTTCAGGACATCGGCCAGGGAAGCACAACGTTCTTTAGTCTTGGCAAGGGACCAGCATTTGAGACCTTGCGTCAACTGATTTACTTTTACCAACAGAAACCAATCAATGGCGTTACTCTGGCCCTGCGCACACCGTGCCCCAAATCAGGATAATGGGACAAACTGCGACCTGTTAGTTGTCCTGTGGTAGATCACGTGGTCTTTCAAAAACACGTTGGAAACACACTGTTCTCTCTTTGAACTGTGACGTGTCACTTTCGACTTCAAGATTTCAGGATTTGACATGAATAGCCAAAGCGAAACAATGAAATCAATTCGATTGAACATAATGATTTTAATTAGCACTGTTTACTGCTGCTAAGCATGTAAATTGTAAACTGAGTACCACAGTCATCTACGTAAAGTATGGGGAATGTTTTCGCTTTTAATCGATTCAGTTTCTAATCGTTTCGCACTCTTGTAGATTAAATAATAACCAAGCACGACAATTTCACATCCCTTTTCGGTTTTCTTATCTGTTACTACATTGATACCATTTTGACTCCTTCCACTTGATAGAGGAACAAACTTTTCTTCTTACGGTAGAAGTTACGCACGAAGAAATATAAAAAATTCGTTGACAAAAGATCTTTGAAATGTAAAAAATACGCAATTTACATCCTTTTAAATGAAACAAAATGACTGGATATGCATGGATGATATATTTAGTGAAACCTTTTAATTCAGATGCACCTCGCGAATATGACCATGGATATGAATGGATGATATATATAGTGAAACCTTTTAATTCAGATGCACCACGCGAAGATGAATGAAAGACTTGTAAATAGTTTTATCAAAGGTGATGATATAAAGAATTAAAATGTTCTCAGTCCTATTGATATTCCGCATGTAGTTTGTGTTGTGTGCTTAGTGAGATATTATTGTGATCCTTTTGTAACCTAACCAGGCGTTCAAAACTTCAAAACTCGGCTTATCGTAATTTTTTTCAGATAAATCATGGAAAGTAATTTCAATCAGTTTGTTACAGTTACCACAGTGAGAATTCGTTTCGCGAAAATCTTTCCGGGATAGAAAAGAAAAACTTACTGAAAAATCAGCTCAGTGAAACCTAATCGTGATGTCAACTCTTCCCCCCCCACTGCCCTCCAGACCTATGTTTTACTTCATGTCTGATATCAAATTAATAGCATATCTCACGGGCTATGAGATTGGCCTTTGTGCAAAAAATAACTGTGAGTTAAAGGAAAAGAAACCATTCTCTGGGTCTAATTCCACTGTAGTTGAATGTTGAAAGTTATAAATAAATTGGCAATCGAAACAGAGTTTTATTGTATCTTTACTAATTTGAGATAGTGCCGGGGGGGTGTTCATCCTGGGGGGACACCAGGGGCGGATACAGAGATTTTTGGTTCCAAACTTTTGTTCAGAAAAGACTGTTGGACTCTTTTGAGGCAAATTACTTCTCTCCAACACCCCCCCCCTCCCACCAGTCGCGGTTGCACGTTATAATTCCTTGGCGCCTTACCGTTTACTAGGATTCATTAATGAAAAAAATCAGCCAGTTAAAAAG